ACCATCATTGCGCTCTTCCCGGGCGAGGCAGATCAGTCGCCGGCTTCTGGACGGCTGCTCACTGCGGCTGCTGGCCGCTCACGCTGGCTGCTGGCTGCTGGCTACATACGGTAGCCTATGGCAACCCACTGCAGCAGGGGACTGTAGCCTACGCCGTCGCCGGCGACTGACGGAAGCCCAGCTCCAGGTTGAGCTGCTGTTCAGCATCTTAGCTGTACAGGGCAGTGTCACTGGCCCTCATATGTGGGATCCGAATCCGGGCCCTCTGGCGTCCCAAGCCAGCTCTTAACCAACGCGCCACTCAGCCGGCCCCTCCTGTGTCTTTTGATTGGAGCATTTAGTCCATTTACATTTAAAGTAATTATTGATAAGTATATAGTTATTGCCATTTTATTGTTTCTATAGTTTTCTCTTCCTTATTCTCTTGCTTCTTCTTCTGTATGTTGATGAAATCCTGTAATGTTAGGTTTGGATTCCTTTTTCTTTATTATTTCTTATAGATTTTTGATTTGTCGTTACCATGTGCTTCATATATACCAAACTATGTTTATAGCAGTGTATTTTAGGTTGATGGTTGCTTAAGTTTGAACACATTCTAAAATCACTAAAATTTTTACTTACTCTACTTTTTTTGTCCTTTTTTACTTCCTTTGTGTATGTATTTTTTTTGTATCTCTTATTGTTATAATTACACATGATCATCCTACTTCTGTGTTTTAATCTGTATACGAGCTTTATAGTTGGTTGATCCAATGCTAAGTGTTTGCCTTTGTCAGTAAGAATTTTTTTTCCTATATTTTCTTACTCATATTTTTTATCTTTTCTACTTAAAGGATTCCCTTTAACATTTCTTGTAATACTGGTTCAGTGGTGATAAACTGTAGCTTATTCTTGTCTGGGAAACTTTTTATTTCTCCTTTGATTCTAAATAATAGCCTTGCTGGGTAGAGCAGTCTTGGTTATAGGTCCTTGCTTTTCATCACTTGGAATATTGCATGCCATTTTCTCTGGCCTGCAAAGTTTCAGTTAAAAAATCAGCTAATAGTGTTATGGGAGTTCCCTTCTACATAACTAACTATTTTTCTCTCGCAGCTTATAAGATTCTCTCATTGTCTTTAACCTATCATGTGTCTTGGTGTGGGCCTGTTTGGTTTCATCTTGTCTTCTAGATCGCTGATTCAATCCTCTGCTTAATCTAATCTGATGTTAATTCCTTTTAGTGTATTCTTCATTTCAGTTATTGTATTCTTCAGTTCTGATTGGTCTTTTTTTTTTTTAATCTTTTTTGTGTTTTCTATCTCATTGTTGAAGTTCTCACTGAGTTCATCTATTCTCCCAAATTCATTGACTATCCTTATAATCAGTGTTTTGAGCTCTGTTTCTGGTACATTGCTTGCCTCCCTTTCATTTAGTTCTTTTTCTGGAATTTTGTCTTGTTCTTTCATTTGGGACATGTTTCTTTGTCTCCTTATTTTGGTTGACTCCTTATGTTTGTTTCTACGTATTAGGTAGATCTCTTACATCTCCCAGTCATGACAGTGGCATTATGTAGAAGGTGTCCTGTGTTAGTCTCCCTGGTCACCTAAATCAGGTGCTCCATGGGTGTCCCCTTTATGGGTTGTGTGTATGCCCTCCTGTTGTGATTGGGCCTCAATTGCTGCTGACACGTCAGTGGGTGGGGTTAAACCTCAGGCTGACTGGTTCTGAGGTCTGGTTGTGAATACAGTGGACACGCTGTGGTGTGGGGGCTAAGCCCACAGAGTGGGAGTTGCTTTAGTGGAGCTGTGTTGCCAGCCAAGGCCGCCCTTCAGGTGTGTCGGTTGTAGAGCTGATTGGGTGGGACTGTGATGTGGCTGAAGCCAGCCACGGGATGTGTTGAGTCTGGAGCTTCTTGAAAGGGGCTCTGGTGCAGGCCAAGGTCAACTGCCATTTGTGCTGGGTGTGGAGCCACTTGGTAGGAACTACAAAGTGACCTGTAGTTAGTTGGTTGCCGCTTGTGCTGGGTTTAGAGGTGCTTCAGAGAAGCTACGCTGCAAACCAAGGCCAACTGCCATTTGTTTCGGGCTTAGCATCCTTTGGTGGGCACTGTGATGCGAGTGGGCACTGAGGCCAGCTGCCACTTGTGCTGGGCTTGTGGCTGCTTTGTTGGAGCTATGTTACAGGCCAAGACCGACGGCCACCTAATGCCAGGCCTGGGACCACCTGATGGGAGTTACAATCCAAACTGAGACTGGTCACTGCTTGTGCTGGGCTTGGGGCCATTTGGCAAGAGCTACAATGTTTGTCAAGGACAGCTGCTGTTTGTTTGGGGTTTGTGGAACTTTGAGAATGTCTGTGCGTGAGCCCAGGGCAGCTGCCACTTGTGTCGGATTTGCGGACCTTTGGGAGTCTGCAGTGTCAAGCCTAGAGCAGCTACTACTCATGAGGTTTGTGGATTTTTGGGAAAGTCCGCAGGTCAAGCCAACATGGCCACTTGTGTGGAGAAGCTGCTGGAAGAGGCTCAGGCTGGGCAAGCAAATTGGATGTTCATATTCATACCATTCATCACATTTCGGAAGTTGAGGGCCATTATTTTTTAAAATATTCTCTCTCTGGGCAGCCGAGTTGCACGTTGGTTAAGAGTTGGCTTGGGACACCAGCTCTGAGCAGCAGAGCCCCGGTTCAGATCCCACATGAGGGCCAGTGACACTGCCCTCTACAGCTAAGATGGTGAACAAGAGCTTGACCTGGAGCTGGGCTGCCGTGAGTTACCGGTGACGGCGTAGGCTGCAGTGGGGCTGCAGTGGGCTGCTGTAAGCTACCATTAGTGGCCGGCAGCCAGCGTGAGCTGCCAAGAGCCGCCGTGAGTGGCTGTCCAGTGGCCGGCGAGCGATCTGCCTCACCCGGGAAGAGCACAGTGATCACAATACCAACTTGGGCCAGTGAAGCGGCGTCCTCCACAACTAGACTGAAGAACAAAAGGACAGCAACTTGTCTGTTCCCCTCCCCCAATTCCCCAATAAAATCTTAAAAAAAACAAAACTGTTTCCTTACTTAAAAAAAAAAAGAATCTATTGAAAGTCAGCCCTCGACACAAGGGTTTGTCAGAAAAAAAAACAGAACAAAAAAAAAAGAAAAAGGAAAAAGAAAAAATAAATAAATAAAATATTCTCTCTCTCTTCTCCTTTTGGGACTTCACCAATGCATATGCTGATCTGCTTGATGGTACCCCACAAGTCCCTGGCTCTGTCCACTTTTCTTCAGTGTTTTTTCTTTCTGTTCCTGAGACTTGATCATTTCAATTGTCCTATCTTAGGGGTTCACTGCACATTCTTCCTGCTCAAGTCTGCCTTTGAATCCCTCTAGTGAGTTTTTCAGTTCAGTTACTGTGCTTTTCATTTCCAGAATTTCTTTTTGGCTTCTTTTTACATTTTCTCTTTATTGATAATTTCCATTTTGTTCCCTATATCATTTCCTTGACTTTCTCCACACCTTCCTTTAGTTCTTTGAGCATCTTTAAGACAGCTATTTTAAAGTCTTTGTCTAGTAGGTCTGCCAGTTTCTACTGGTTTATTTTTTTCCTTTGAATGGGCCATACTTTCTTGTTTCTTTGCATGCCTTGTGACTTTTTTGTTGAAAACTGGACGTTTGAATCTAACCATGGTAACCCTACAAATCAGAATCTGCTCCTTCCCTAGGACTTGCTGGGGTTGGGGCTGCTTGTTTTTGTTGTAGACTGTCTTTTTGCCAAGAATCAGCCTGAGGTATGAACTTAAGGCCTCCTCAGGTCTTTTCTGAGCCTCAGCCTCTTCCTGGTATGGGGACTCTCTCATTTCCCCTACGTATATTGTTGCTTTTGAATGTCAGAGTCTTCAATGTCTGGCTCTCAAAAGGGTAAAAAGAGAAAACCTAAGGCAGTGGAGGGGAAGCGCTGTCCCTTTAAATTCCCTGGAAGTCACTTCAGCCGGAAGGGGAGTGCAGCAGCATCTGCCTTGTCTGCACCTTTGAGATCAGAAGCAGCACTCAGAGATCAGAGCACAGATCCCAGGCATTTGGAGGACAAGGTTCTTATTGCCTCTTTGGCTCCCCAGAAAACTGCAGGCTGCTCCAGGAACATGTGTAAGGCTGCCTGCCACAGGGCTGTGGGCTGGACAGTTGGTACTGGCTAAGGGCTGAAATTCACCAATGTTGACCATGTAAGCCTTCTCTGCAAATTGCAAGCCTTCAATAGACTCCAGAGTTCCAAAATACCGGGGGTGCTAAGAAAATGTATACACATTTTAAGAGATGTTAACACTCTGGTTAACGTTGCTCAAGCAGCAACTTGCCGTATCAGAAGTGTCTGGACGCTGATGGGAACCACTTTGAGCACCTCTGTAATTGGAGAAGGCAAACATGACTTGTATTCACCTTCTGATATTGGTATATATTAATACAGTTTTTTTCTTTCTTAAAACGTGTTTACATTTTTTTGGCACCCTCTGTAGTTACATCAGACAGATCCTGCCAGTGCCGTTGTTGTCTTGACAGATTCCTAGAGCCTCCTGCTCTGCCATCTTCCCAGCATACTCTTCATAAAATAAATTTTTACAACATTTTTTGAAGAATTTGAAAATCAGTGCGATAATATTAACCCCTAGGACCAGCACCATTTTGTACACACAGGTGCACATGCACACGACATAGCCTAGGAGGAGCATTGTCACCAATCTCCAAAGCCTCTTCTGAGGCAGATCCTTTAAGGGGTAGGCAGCCTGAACAGAGCAGTGGGCTGGAGAGAGCCGCCCCCAAGGCCGCTCCAGACCTGAGGCTGTTCCCAGCACAGACAGAGCTCATAGAAGGGCAGGCTGGCTGCTTCCCCTTCCTGGGGCTTGATTTATTCATCCAAACAGTGTGAAAGTTGGACCAGATCAGGGTTTCTTCAGTGAAACCACAGAACAAGCTTTTTTACATAGAAATTGTAATAATTCATGGGATAATAATTCAGTGAAAAAAATTACCAGACACGCTCCCCCCCCCGATTCAACAATATAAAGTAAAAGTAAAGAGTAACAAGAGGTATTAGGTATTACAGCACTGGTCAAGTTTTTAGTGAATTACAGAAAGTGTATCCAAGCACAGAGACAGCATAAGTCAAATGAACCGTTGACTGTTACTCAGATGTGCAGTGGAAAAAAGGAAGGTGGGTATTTGGGAAGCTGTAGGCAGATCCTCTTTCTCTGACCTGGGCTTCTTATCTGTACAATTGGGGCTGAAATAGTTATTTCTAAGAAGCCTTTCCAGTTGTGGCTCTGGAATAAATTGTTGGCTCTGTGATCATAGGGAATAAAATTGACAGGTGTGTGTGCGGGGTGCGGTTGGAGGGTGAGGCATGGCGTCAGAGCTTTCTTTAAGACGCCCTGTTCTGTTCTCCTGCCCCCTGCAGCCCGTCAGTGTGACTGGCCAGGGTGGATAAGAGGGGTGCGTTCCTAGTTGGATTAAAGGGTGACGGTGAATCTGTGTGACCTGGAGGGAAGGTTGCTTCCATTGTTGCCCAAAGATGGTTTTAGGAAGTGCGAAGACAGATATTTTTTATTTTAATTCTTTTGCATGTTTTAGTGAATATTGAAAAATATGTAGCTGGCACATCAAACTTGTTATTTCAGAGATGATACTGCCTAGGATGTGGCTCAAGTTTTAAAAATGGGTTGGCTTAAAAGAGAACGTGAAGTACAAGTGGTATTTGATCATGGCAGAGGTTAGTTATGATGGGGAGGGGGTGATCAGAATGACTAGATTCAAGAAGCCCTAGCCTGTGGGACAGGCCCCTTTAGGTGGCACCTCAGCAGAGTGGCTGTGACACACCTTATCCTTGCACTGGGCTTTCTAAAGGCCTTACCACAGGGAGCATATCATTCCTGTTCAAAGAGGAGACCTCAGGCCCAGATGGGACATGGCCTCCCAAGTCACTGCTGGGAAGCAGGACTGGTGCTGGACTCTTCCTGCTCTGGTGTCCCACAGGGCACTTGCGTCCGGTCTGAGAGCATCCAAGACTGCAGGCTCGGAGCCCAGTTCTGGGGTGGTGTCCTGGAGGAGTTCTAGCCCCCAGCAGCCAGCTGTGTGCTGGGCCCCTCAGCTGTTGGGATCCGGGTGGGGCTCTGGTCCTCCCACAGGTGGGGTGAGGGAAGGCACAGCGTTTCTGCCCCATCCCCTGCTCTTGGAGGGTATATTGTCTGCTGTTTGGTTTGAGCAGAGCAGTCATTTGCTTGGTTTTGTTTTCTTCCCCAAATGGGAGTAGTTTTATGGCTTAATATAAACATTGAAAGTGTTCAACATAAAGAATACATAAACAATATAAATAAATAAATATGTGTATAGAGATAAATTACTTAAACCCTGATTGCTCAGGGATAATTAACATTTTGGTATATAATCTTCTAGATTTTTTATATCTTTGTCTATATACCTAGTTGCATGTCAGTATCTATATGATTTTACATAAATGAAATCATACCCATTCATCTGTTGTATACGTTTTTCTGCCCAAAAATAAGCATGTCATGGACATCTTAACATATCGGTAAACAGAGCCTGTCTTCAGTTTTCGTCATTGCACAGCATTCCCTTGTGTGGGTAGCCTTAACGTAATTTATTTAAACAATCCTCTTTCATGGAAATTCTGGTGATGTCCAGTATTTGACCCTGTTAATAATGCTGTGAGAAATATCCTTCATGCTCATCCAAGAATTTGCTGTTCTGGATATTTTTTTACTGTATAGTTTTAGATATAGAACTGTGTATCAGAATTGAAGCACGTTAAAGTTTTTAATGTATGTTGTAAAGTGCCTTCCAGAGAGGTGGGGCTGGTTTTGTCCACCAGCCCTGACCCAAGGCGGTTTGCTGAATGACCACAGACGCAGATTGGGTCCCTTGGAGTGTGTACTGTCCCAGCTCTGATGCATATTTTCTGGGCGTTTGTGGGCAGACAGACCTGCCTGCCCTGTACCCCAGGTGATAGGCCTGCTTCTCTCATCCGCCCCCCCAGAATGCTGTCCGTGTCCCACGGGACTTTGAGGGCTGCAGCGTCCTCCGCAAGTACCTAGGCCAGCTCCATTACCTGCAGAGTCGGGTCCCCATGGGCTCAGGCCAGGAGGCCGCTGTTCCCGTCAACTGGTGAGAGCTGGCAGGCAGGGCTGCGGGGAGTCTGGAGGGCGTCTGTGCTGGGGTGCCCCTCCCCCCCCTTTCTTCTCCTCGCTCCACAGGATGGGGAGCAGATTGGTCTAGTCTCCCCAGGCCTCCCTCCCTGCAGCCCTGAGGGGGTGGCGGGTCCCCTCACCTGGCCTCAGGGCCCTGGCCAGCTCCTTCCCTCAAGGTGACTGTGGTGCCATGTCCGCAGGACTGAGATCTTCTCAGGCAAGTCTGTGGCCCATGAGGACATCAAGTACGAGCAAGCCTGCATTCTCTACAACCTCGGTGAGCTGCCTGCCCCTTCCCCATGGCCTGCCCCTCAGCCCTGCCAGCCCAGGCCGGAACCCTTCCCATGGTCCTGTCCCTCAGCCCTGCCAACCCAGGACAGAACGTGCTGGGTCCGGACCCGCCACTCCCGTCCCCACCGCTCTGCTAGCTCCTCTTTTCTGGGCCATGGGGAGCCACCCCGCTGGGGAGAGGCTGTACTGGGCTGGCCGCCACACAGGGTTGCGCTGGGGGCTCCAGCTGGGGGAGAGGGCTGAGATGGCCTCTCCTTTCACTGGACAGCCGACCCACCTTTTGACTTGGGGCTGCTTCAGACAGAAGGAGAACGTGGTTGGCCTCAATTGGCCCTGTCAACCTTGATGACTCAGCCTCAGCCTGGCTCAAGGGAGAAGCTTGGGGAGCTCTAGAGCCCTGTGTAGGCATCCCTGAAGCTTCGACACTGGACCTCTAGGCTGGGGGCTGTGGACAGGAGCCCCTCCTTCCACCCACACCCCTGTTTTCCTGATCATGGGTGACAACACTGCTCCCCTTGCCTTCCTGTTGACACAGTTGCTGGCAGCCTGGGGAGCAGCCCCAAACTAGCCCTGACACCAGCCCTCTGTCTCCCCAGGGGCACTGCACTCCATGCTGGGGGCCATGGACAAGCGGGTGTCCGAGGAGGTGAGGAGGGGAGGGGCAGTGGTGGGACATCAGCCGGAACCAGGGAGGGCTGCCGAGTGTTCAGACTCCAGGGCTGGCCTGAATCCTGCCCCTCGGGAGTGGACACAGGCAGCTGCCTGGCTCTGCCTGCGGCCATCCTCGTCTTCCTCCTCAGGGCATGAAGGTCTCCTGTACTCACTTCCAGTGTGCAGCGGGCGCCTTTGCCTACCTGCGTGAGCACTTCCCTTACGCCTACAGCGTTGACATGAGTCGCCAGATCCTCACGCTCAATGTCAACCTCATGTTGGTGAGGAGGCCCTTGATGGAGCCGAACTGAATCTAGGAGAGGGGACAGTTAAGGCTGGAGCCTAGACCAGGCCCGTGCAGATGGCAGTCAGGGTGGGACATCGGGGGCCTTGGCTTTGATCTAGAGCTCCAGGTGGAGCAGGGCTGTACTTCTTGGAGTGGGGGAGGCTGGAGGCGTGAGGACGGGGAGGAGGGGTTCCTGTGGCCTGCCCACTGGAGGGGCAAGGCCTGCGGGTGAACGAGGACGTGCAGCTGTACTTGCTGCCCCAGGGCCAGGCGCAGGAGTGTCTTCTGGAGAAGTCGATGCTGGACAACAGGAAGAGCTTCCTGGTGGCCCGCATCAGCGCACAGGTAGGGGACGGGGTGGACGAGGGCAGCGTCAGATGACCGAGGGCACGCCTCTGGTTTGCTGCTGATGCCCCGACCGGCTCCCAGGTGGTGGATTACTACAAGGAGGCCTGTCGGGCCTTGGAGAACCCCGACACCGCCTCGCTGCTGGGCCGGATCCAGAAGGACTGGAAGAAACTGGTGCAGATGAAGACCTGCTACTTCGCGGCTGTGGCTCATGTGAGGGCACCACGGCCACTGGCTCTGGGCTGGGCTGTCGCCACAGCTCGGGAATAAGCAGTGACATCTCTTCTTCCTTCCCAGCTGCACATGGGGAAGCAGGCTGAGGAGCAGCAGAAATTCGGGGAGCAGGCGAGTGAGCTGTGAGGGGAGGGCTCAGGACTCGGTCTAGCCTTGTTAGATAGAATGGGGGAGGTGGTCTCTGCCTCTCACCCCCACATCCATGCATAAGCCCTGCTGCAGGCCTGGTGTGTCCCGTCTGTGCAGCAGGGGCTGGCTGGTTGGAAGTGGAAGCTGTGGGTGGAGCACCATGTGACGCTAACCTCGGTGCTGTTGGCTCGGCTGGCACCCAGCTGCCTCCTCAGCTTCTTGCCTTCTGATGGGTCACCTGACGGCCCCCCTTCAGCGGGGGGGCAGGAGGAGGAAAGGCTAAGCAGGAAAGGCGTGACCAGGCTCTGCCCACGGTCTCCCGCAGGTCGCATACTTCCAGAGTGCCCTGGACAAGCTCAACGAAGCCATCAAGTTGGCCAAGGTAAAGCTGAGGAAGGGCCTGGCAGGGCTGAGGGGCGCCCCGTGTTGGCCTTGGTTGGTGCTGAGCCCCATATCCCTACCCCACAGGGCCAGCCCGACACCGTGCAGGATGCGCTTCGCTTCGCTATGGATGTCATTGGGGGAAAGTGAGTCTGGTAGGGGTGGCCCTGGTTCCTTCTTGTCAGGCGTGGTCTCGGCCCTCTGCCTGCATCCTTGAGAGGAAGCCCCCAGTGCCAGAGAACAGTGGCCCACATGGGAGTCCAGGTCCTGAATCCCCGCTGGTCACCCAAGACACCCCACTCACTTCCCCTTCTCTGGACCCCCAGGTACAATTCTGCCAAGAAGGACAATGACTTCATCTACCATGAGGCTGTCCCAGCTCTGGACACCCTTCAGCCTGTGAAAGGTCTGAAGCTGAGGGGAGGCTGAGGATTGTGGGATGGGGTGCAGAGGGGGGTAGAACAGAGGTCTGCGTGGGCCTGCTCTCCACACGCTCCTCCTCATCCCAGGCGCCCCCTTGGTGAAGCCCTTGCCAGTGAACCCCACGGACCCAGCTGTTACAGGCCCTGACATCTTCGCCAAACTGGTACCTATGGCTGCGCATGAAGCCTCGTCGCTGTACAGGTGGGTGGGAGGGCTGGCCCTGGCCTTAGCAGAGGTGGGGTTGGGTGTCTCAGGAGACATGGCTTCCAGCACCTGCTCTGTCACTTCTGTAGTGAGGAGAAGGCCAAGCTGCTTCGGGAGATGATGGCCAAGATTGAGGACAAGAACGAGGTCCTGGAGTAAGTGTGGGTTAGGGGGGGGGGGGGGGGTTACACACCAGACCTCTGCGGGGTCCCCAGTGCTGCCTGTAACAGGGAGAGTAGTGACGTGTTCGCTCACACCAGGTTTCCTGGCTCGGCCCTCTCCACCCAAGGTCTTGTGTGCTAGATTTATATGGTACAAGTCACATGTCTTGGGAAGAGGATGTCTTTTCTGTCCATGTTTTCAGCAGTGCCCTGAGCATGCTATGGGGGCCTGGCCTGGTGGTGGAGGTGAGGATGCTACTTTGCTAGGACCTCAGACCAGCCTTCAGTTATGGGGGGGTACACCCTAGTGGGTTCCTTTTACATGTGAGGACTTGGGTCAGCACCCACTTAGTCCTGTTGCCCCCACAGCCAATTCATGGATTCAATGCAGCTGGACCCTGAGACGGTGGACAACTTGGACGCGTACAGCCACATCCCACCCCAGCTCATGGAGAAGTGTGCGGCGCTTAGCGTCCGGCCCGACACTGTCAGGAACCTCGTCCAGTCCATGCAGGGTGAGTGCGTGGGGCAGCAGGCAGGTGGAGGCGGGAACGTGCAGGTCATGTCCCCTGATCACCAAGGATGGAGGCTGTACCTCTCCAAGCCCCTGGCACAAGCACCCACCCCCAGGCCCCGTGGGTCACTGCACCATATCTGCATAGCTCAGCAAGCGTTGGCTGCTCACAGCCCTTGACCAAGGGGGCAGTTGTGCCTCCTAGGGGATGGGCCAGAGGGGGTGCCTGGCCTGCCTGCCTCAGGAGCTGTTCCCCCTTCCCTGTACACACCCTCAGTGCTGTCCGGGGTGTTCACGGATGTGGAGGCGTCCCTGAAGGACATCAGGGACCTGCTGGACGAGGATGAGCTGCTAGACCAGAAGTTTCAGGATGCCGTGGGCCAGGCGGGGGCCGGCACGGCGGTGTCCAAGGCAGAGCTGGCGGAGGTGCGACGAGAATGGGCCAAGTACATGGAGGTCCACGAGAAGGCCTCCTTCACCAACAGCGAGCTGCACCGCGCCATGAACCTACACGTCGGCAACCTGCGCCTGCTCAGCGGGCCACTGGACCAGGTGCGGGCTGCCCTGCCCACGCCAGCCCTCAGCCCAGGTGAGCCCACCCGGCCCCCGCCCTCGCTGGGGGTGGGGGTGGGGATGTGGGTGTGTGTCCGTGGCCTCACTGCCCACCGCTGCCTCCAGAGGACAAGGCTGTGCTGCAGAACCTGAAGCGCATCCTGGCCAAGGTGCAGGAGATGCGGGACCAGCGTATGTCTCTGGAGCAGCAGCTGCGGGAGCTCATCCAGAAGGATGACATCACCGCCTCGCTGGTCACTACAGACCACTCAGAGATGAAGGTGGGCTGGGGCGCGGGCAGGGGCGGACTCGGCTGCAGCCTGAGGTGGCCAGGCCCTGAGTGTCTCCTCCGCCCCGACACTCCCTCAGAAGCTGTTCGAGGAGCAGCTGAAGAAGTACGACCAGCTGAGGGTGTACCTAGAGCAGAACCTGGCGGCCCAGGACAACGTCCTCCGGGCCCTGACAGAGGCCAATGTGCAGTATGCGGCCGTGCGGCGGGTGCTCAGTGATGTGGACCAAAAGTCAGTGCTGGTCCTGTGCCCGTGCCCAGCGCCTCCCAGGCTCGGCTCCAGCCACTCACCTCCTGCTGGCCCTTCTGCCCGCCAGGTGGAACTCCACGCTGCAGACCCTGGTGGCCTCATTTGAAGCCTATGAGGACCTGATGAAGAAGTCCCAAGAGGGCAAGGACTTCTATGCAGACCTGGAGAGCAAGGTCGCCGCTCTCCTGGAACGGGCACAGTCCATCTGCCAGGCTCGGGAGGCTGCCCGCCAGCAGCTCCTGGACAGGTGGGTGTGGCTCCAGGGCCTTGGTGCAGCTGCAGCCCAGACCCGGGCCGGGCTGATGGGGCCGGGCTGAGCTGCTCCCTTACTGGTCCCACAGGGAGCTGAAGAAGAAGCCGCCACCACGGCCCACAGCCCCCAAGCCCCTGCTGCCCCGCAGGGAGGAGGGTGAGGCGGAGCTCGGAGACCCGCCCGAGGAGCTGCGCAGCCTGCCCCCCGACGCCTTCCTGGGGACCGCCACCGCGCTCCACTTCCCTGCTGGCCCCTTCCCCACCTCCGCGGGCCCAGGACCCCACTACATCTCAGGCCCCTTACCCCATGCCTACTCAGGCCCCACCCCGATGTTGCAGCCCAGGGTCCCCCAGCCCCCAGGGCACCCCGCCATGGCCATGGCCTCTGGACCTGCCGTCTACCCTGCCCCTGCCTACGCACCAGAGCTGGGCCTGGTGCCCCGCTCTTCCCCGCAGCATGGCATGGTGAGCAGTCCCTATGGGGGAGTAGGGCCACCCCCACCAGTTGCAGGTCTGCCCTCTGCTCCACCTCCCCAGTTCTCGGGCCCTGAGTTGGCTATGGGGGTTCGGCCAGCCACCACCACAGTAGATAGTGTGCAAGCGCCCATCTCCAGCCACACAGCACCGCGGCCGAACCCCACCCCTGCTCCACCCCAGCCGTGCTTCCCAGTGCCCCCACCACAGCCACTGCCTTCACCCTACTCCTACCCCTTAGTGCCCAAGCAGCCCCTCCCAGCACCCCCAGCCCAGCACCACTTTCCTCCTGGGATCCCCGCAGGTTTTCCAGCCCCAGGGATTGGGCCCCAGCCCAGACCCCAGCTGCATCCCCCACAGGCGGCGTTCAGGCCCCAGCACCCCCAGCAGCCCCTTCCCCTCCAGCATCCGCACCTGTTCCCGCCCCAGGCTCCAGGACTCGTGCCGCCCCAGCCCCCCTATTCCTTTGCCCCTCAGCCTGGTGTCCTGGGGCAGCCAACACCCCCCCTACACACCCAGCTCTACCCAGGCCCCACTCAGGACCCCCTACCATCCCACCCTGGCATATGGCCCTGCCCCCTCCCCCAGGCCCCTGGGCCCCCAGGCAGCCCCTCTCTCCATTCGAGGCCCCTCACCTGCTGGCCAGGCCACCCCCAGTCCCCACCTGGTGCCTTCACCTGCCCCATCACCAGGGCCTGGCCCGGTACCCCCTCGGCCCCCTGCAGCACAGCCACCGCCATGCCTGCGCCGGGGCCCTGCAGCTGCAGACCTGCTGTCCTCCAGCCCGGAGAGCCAGCATGGCGGCACTCAGCCTCCTGGGGGAGGGCAGCCCCTGCTGCAGCCGACGAAGGTGGACGCGGCCGAGGGCCGGCGGCCACAGGCCCTGCGGCTGATTGAGCGCGACCCCTACGAGCACCCTGAGAGGCTGCAACAGTTGCAGCAGGAGCTGGAGGCCTTTCGGGGCCAGCTGGGTGACGCTGGTGCTCTGGACGCTGTTTGGCGGGAGCTGCAAGAAGCCCAGGAGCATGACGCCCGCGGCCGCTCCATCGCCATCGCCCGCTGCTACTCGCTGAAGAACCGGCACCAGGACGTCATGCCCTATGACAGCAACCGCGTGGTGCTGCGCTCAGGCAAGGACGACTATATCAATGCCAGCCGCGTGGAGGGCCTCTCGCCGTACTGCCCACCTTTGGTGGCCACCCAGGCCCCTCTGCCCGGCACAGCCGCCGACTTCTGGCTCATGGTGCACGAGCAGAAGGTGTCGGTCATTGTCATGCTGGTGTCTGAGGCTGAGATGGAGAAGGTGAGAGCGAGAGGTTGGGTGGGTGTCCAGGAGGGATCCTGGAAAGCAGCCCTAAATGCCTATTTGCGGTTTCCCCCTCAGCAAAAGGTGGCCCGCTACTTCCCCACCGAGAGAGGCCAGCCCATGGTGCACGGTGCCCTGAGTCTGGCACTGAGCAGTGTCCGCACCACCGAGACCCATGTGGAGCGGGTGCTGAGCCTGCAGTTCCGGGACCAGAGCCTCAAGCGCTCGCTTGTGCACCTCCACTTCCCCACGTGGCCCGAACTGTGCGTCTGCTGCTCTGGGTGGTTGGGGGCACGGGGTGGGGGGTGAGGACTGGGGTGAAGACTCGGGTCAGGTCTCACTCTGAGCCCCGCCCCTGCAGAGGCCTGCCCGACAGCCCCGGCAACCTGCTGCGCTTCATCCAGGAGGTGCACGCGCACTACCTGCACCAGCGGCCCCTGCACACGCCCATCGTCGTGCACTGCAGGTAGGGTGGGGGAGGGGCGGCTGCAGGGGCGTCCTTGTCTGGGAGCCTCGGCCTTACGCCCCTTCCTGCCGCAGCTCTGGGGTGGGCCGCACGGGAGCCTTCGCTCTGCTGTACGCGGCTGTGCAGGAGGTGGAGGCCGGGAACGGGCTCCCGGACCTGCCGCGGCTGGTGCGGCACATGCGGCAGCAGAGGAAACACATGCTGCAGGAGAAGGTGAGGGCAAGGGGGTGGGCGGGGACGGGTACTGCCCTGGGGGACGGCTGCCCAGCTGACGCATGGGTGTCCTGCAGTTGCACCTCAGGTTCTGCCATGAGGCAGTGGTGACACATGTGGAGCAGGTCCTGCAGCGCCATGGCGTGCTCCTGCCGTGCAAGCCCGTGGCTGGCACAGGCCTCATCCAGAAGGTGAGGAGGGAAACCTGGGGCTGCAGCAGGACAGCCACAGCCTTGTGAGCCCCGGTCTTCACCCTCTTCTGCCTGTTCAGAATCACCTTCCTCAGGACTCCCAGGACCTGGTCCTCGGTGGGGACGTGCCCATCAGCTCCATCCAGGCCACTATTGCCAAGCTCAGCATCCGGCCTCCTGGGGGCCTGGAGTCGCCAGCTGCCAGCCTGCCAGGCCCTGTGGAGCCCCCAGGCCTACCACCAGCCAGCCTCCCGGAGTCGACCCAGCTCCCATCCTCGTCCCCACCCCCTCTCTCTTCACCCCTGCCAGAGCCCCCCCAGCCTGAGGAGGAGCAGCCAGTCCCTGAGGCGCCCAACCTGGGACCCCCCTCCTCCTCCCTGGAGCTGCTGGCCTCCCTCACCCCTGAGGCCTTCTCGCTGGACAGCTCCTTGCGAGGAAAGCAGCGGATGAGCAAGCAGAACTTCCTGCAGACCCACAATGGGCAGGGCCTGCGGGCCGCCCGGCCCTCTGACGACCCCCTCAGCCTTCTGGATCCACTGTGGACACTCAACAAGACCTGACCAGGCTGTGCCCACCTGGTCCTTACACTACATCATCTCCTGCCGTGCCCAGGAGGGCCTCGAGGTGGGCCTGGTTTCCTCCTCCCATTCCTGCTGCCTTCAGCCCTCCCTGGTTCGGCCCACACCCCTGTGGGGTGGAGCTGTATCGCGGGCCTTGGGTCACATTCTGCTCCTTTGTGGGACCTGACATTTTTCAGCTCTTTGCTGTTGAATAAACCAACCTGTTCTGTGGCCAGTGTGTCTGCCCGTTGCTGCCTCAGGGAGGGAGCCGGAGCCTGGTGCTTTCCATGAGCTTGGACATGGATGGGCGGGATGACAACACAGGTCACCCTTGGCTTCCACACCTCTGAAGTGGTTAGGAAGTCCTCCCTGTTCCTGTCCCCAGACGCAGCTTGTATGGTGGAGCAGCTCTGAGCTGGGAAGGGTCTAACCGAAGGCTAGAGGTTTAGGGGTGGGGAGGGGCACACAAGTGACACAGGAGCTCTCTAGGGGACAACACAAGTGGCTCACAAGGCCCTGGTAGATGTGATTTTTTAAAAAGTTTAATATAATAGTCCTGAGGCAGCTTCCAGAAGACTTAGCTACTCCCCCCAGTCTATGTCCAGTGCATTGGCTCCAAAGCGCCCCTCAGTCCAGCTTCTCCAGCACAGAGGGCACGTACACCAGGCTGAGCTCACTGCCAAAGTTGCAGACGATGGCGGCATTGTCCAGCACCAGGATCTGGCGGGCAGGTTGGGCCTCACTGTTCTTACCCAAGTAGACTGTCTGTAACAGGTCCCCGTAGTTTAGGTCCCAAAAAGAGACACAGCCCTGGCCACCGGTCACCAGCAGGTTGTCTGAGATGACACCCAAGCTTGCACCACAGCCCAGGTCCTAGAGACAAACACATGACAAGCTCAGTGCTTTGAGTCCTTCCCTGAAACACAGAGAGCCCTATGGCCCCCAACCTACCTACCTGCTGAATGGAGTAGAGCTTGATGCTTGTGCTACGGTCCCAGATGCTGATAAGGTCATCCAGGCCACTGCTGATGACACAGGACGTGGTACAAGTGAGGGAGGTGACATCTCCACGGTGAGCAAACATGTGGCTGACCCGGCTGCCAGTCAGCACGTCCCATAGGCAGATGGCCCCATCTTGTCCTCCACTGGCCAGCACCATGGTCTAGGGGAACAGGCCCAGGGAGTGGGGTCACTGGCGGAAACCGTTGTCTACAAGGGTGTCCTGGGGGGTGGGGCTCCTCACTCTGCTTCCCAGAAGGTGCCAGGAGTCAGAAACACGGGCCATGGCCTGGCCTTGTGCCACCCGCCACAGCCCACCACTGAGCCCTCACCTGATCGATGTACACAGTTGTGATGGCCCCCGAGTGGCCCTGCAGGGTGAAGAGGCAGCACGAGTCCTCCAGACGGAACACCTGGGGCAGGAATGGTCTCACGTTTTTCCAAATGACACTTTGGAAATCCCAGTTCATCTAGGCCACCTCCAGCCGCACCCTGACTGACCCCAAACGCTCCCCATCCCCTCTGCTAGGTCACCCCAGCGCCCAAGAAACGGCCAGCACTCACTCTCAGTGTGTGGTCTTGGCTCCCAGTCACGAGGCGCCCAGCGGCAGCCTTCAGGGCTGTGATGGGTTTCTGATGTGCACAGGGCACTGTGTGGGTCAGGCGACAGGCCACCGTGTCACTGCTGCTGTACATGGGGGATGTGGGAGAACCGCCTTGCCCTGGAGACAACAGGCTAAGTGAGGGACCTCTGAGAAGACACCTTGCAGTCAGCCCCTGCACTCCACCCCCACAGACTGCAGGCACCTGTCCGGCCCCTCTGACCTCGGAACTGCAGGGGGCTGAGGGCAGTGTGGGTCTCCAAGGAGAAGAAATCCAGGGAACCGTTGAGCCGGGCAGCCACAATCCTGAAGAGAAGTGTGCCAGGCCTGAGTCTAAGTACTTCACACCTGTTAACCACCCCTCCCATCGAGGTGGACTATCTGCTGCTCACAGGTGTGGGGCTAGGTGCTAAGAAGGGAAGTCGAGTCACACACCAGTGAAAGGGAGGCAGTATTCAAACCTCAGTGTGTGGCCTGGCCAGGAAGGTCGGGTGTTGGGCTGAGGAAGGCAGCCTGGCACTCTCACCTTTTGTCCAGGAAGACGAGGGCCGTGATGCCCGACGAGACCTCCTCACTGCTGCAGCGTAGTGTGCCCTCGATGGCGTCCCACACCTGCAAGCCCAGAGGCCGTGAGCACCTGTGGGCTCGAGAAGCCCACGGCCCCGCCGCTCCAGTCCCCTGCCCACCTGCAGCCGGCCGCTACTGCGGCCCACCACGATGAGGTTGCCTTGCAGCTCCAGGCTCCAGATGGAGCCGTCAGCACTGGGGGCCCAGGAGAGGGCCAGGGAGCTCTTCTCAGGAGAGCCCCCCTCGTCCTCAGGGACCTGGGGCAGTGTGGGCCCAGGGGAGGGTGGGCGCAGGGCCGGTGCGTGGCTGGGAGCCAGCCCCTCCTGCTGGTACACTCGCTGCACCAGGCGGCTGAAGTCATATCCCTGGTTGTCACGAGTGCGGCCACAGCCAGCCCGGTGCCGGGGCTCGGGCTGAGTGGGCTCTGACAGCCGCGGCCGTGCTGAGAAGTTGGTGTCGATCAAGCAGGTGAGGTCTGGCTGGTCTCCAAAGAGGGGAGGCTGTGGAGGACCCTGGGGATGGTGCCGCAGCGGAGAGCTGTCCCCAGGCTCCTCTGAGCCGCCCTTCCCACCATCCGACAGCCGTTCCCAGCTCTCCTGAGCCTCAAACATGCTGCCACCGCCACTGTCCCGGCGCTGCCTACAAGGACCAGGAGGGCAGGGTGAGGGTGGCAAGGACAGCAGGGTGCAGTGGGGTGGGGGACAGGCGGGGACGAGCACCTACCCTGGGCGCGGGATGCGTGTGAGGCAGTCCCCAGTCTGTGCGTCCCACACGCACACATGGCCCGCCAGGCAACAGCTCACCAGCAGCATGCCATCGCTGGCCAGACACTCGATGTCCTGTGGGGACACAGTAGGCCATGGGCACAGGCACTGGCGCAGCCTGGCCCTGGCATTCCCACCACCCCTGCTGCACTCACCATGAGGTGCCCACGTAGCACCAAGGGCACGATCTCTGTCTCAGGTGGTGCGTAGCCATAGTCGTCACAGGGCAGGTCTCCACGGCGCCGCCGGCCAGGCCCACCGCCAGGCTGTCCGTAGTTGCGCGGGCAGAGCACACGGTAGAGGCAGAGTAGCACCAGCACAAGGACGATGCCTGCAGCCAGGCCGAGCGCTGCCACCCTGCACAAGAAGGACATGGTCAGGCACGCCCAGGCCCCTCCTGCCGGCAGCCCCTCCCTCGCGGGCCTTACTTGTACAGGGTGACATCTCTGTGGGCCTGTGCCACACCTGGCCCCTTGGGGCCGGCCTCCCAGAGCCCACCGGGCCTGGGCTGCGGCGGGGGCCAGGCACTGCGGCCATCCTGAGGGTGCCGCCCCTCCAGGGCCTCCCTCGGGTTCAGGCGGAGCGTGACCGGGATGACAGGCAGTAGGCTGATGTACCTGGAAGCAGGCAGTGGGCGGCCTCAGCCAGGATGCCCTAGGAAGGGTCCCTGCTGCACCCCCGTCCCCTCACCACACAGGACTCAGCCTGCCAGACTCCAAGACCACCCTCCCCGGAAGTCTTCCCCAAATGGGTGGTGGGAGCACAGGAGGCCCCTCCCAGCCCAGCTCTGGCACCCAACCTTGCTCTGTCCCAGACACCAGCACCCAAGCAGCCATCACTACAGTGCAGCTAGGAAACACTTCAAACCACTGGGTTTTCCTTTTAAGCGGGAAGGAATGCTCTGAGGACAGTGAGCTGACACCTGGCGGGGAGGCGGCAGCTGGCACAGCCCAGCTCACCTCTTGGCCAGTGTGATGTTGTAGTAGCTGAAGAGCGTCGGCCAGTGGCGGAATGACAACTTCCTCCAAAGTTCCTCGTCCTCAGGCCCCCAGGTTACCTCTGGGACTGGGCTGTCATGGACACCCTCTACCGGACCCCCAGACTCGGGCGTCTCTCCTGGCAACGTATGGTTCTCAGGTAACTTAGGGCCATCCGGTGGGAAGATGGCGAAGGCAGGGTCCGGGTGGCTGGCGGGCAGCACGCCGCTGGGCACAGGCATGGGAGTCAGGGCGCCCTCGCCCAGTGGGCTCTGCTCTGTCACCTGGGCAGCGAGGTAGGTGCGCAGCCCTGCTGGGTCTGTGTACACCAGGATGCCAATCCAGACAACGGTGCCAGCCTACATGGGGCATCGGGTACTCAGCGGTGCCTCTGGGGGGGGAAGGGCAGCCCCAACCCCCCGCACCCTTGGCCCTCATGCCAAGAGGCCACACAGGGCCCTCAGGCCTGGGGGTGGGAGAGGACGCAGATCCCAACCCGTCCTCCCTCTGACTCTCCAAGTCCTCCCACTATCAGCAGGGGCCAGCTGCCACTGGGGGCACCTAGTTCACTTTCCACGGTCAGGGCTTAGGTTTCTTGGCCGAGAAGTGGAGCGGCACCCTTAGGTTTGATGAAGAACCTCCCCATCTCAGCTGGGACCAGAAAGCGCTAGCATTCCCAAGGTCAGCCTGGCCAGAGGGCCTGCCGCCTGACCTGCTCCAGACACACCCATGGGTCCTAGTCCTGAGGGCCTCAGCCTTGCTCCGTTCTCCCTTCTACTCCCTGGGAAAGGCGCTGTGGGCCTGCAGCCACCCAGCAGACACTACACAAGAGCCGCTGAGCCCTGACTCGGGGAACAATGCTGGCTCCATCCCAGAGCACGTCTAGCAGGTTTCTGTCCTGGGGCACTCTGGGAGATGACTGCTCCTCTACCTGACTAACTGGGCTGCTTCTCCCCGAGACAGGCTTATCACCTCAGAAGCCACCAGGGTCTGGACAGGAGGGTGTGGTGGGCAGCTTCCCAAAGCCAGGCTTCATGGGGCCGCTAGGGCCTGAGGAGCACCCCCCACCTCCAAGGCAAAGTACAGAATTTGAGAGGGAGCTGAGTGCCGGCCCTCGCAGGGCAGGGCAGGGCAGGGGCTGGAGGTACCATGATAAGGCGCTGTGCCAGGCGGGTGCGGGCCAGGAAGTAGACGACGCGCAGCCTCTTGGGGAGTCGCAGGTTTCGGAAGGAGGATGGTTGCAGTGTGATGGTGTGAGGTGTGGACGGTCGCACAGCCAGCTGCCGCTCGAAGCGCACCGGCCGCCCCACTGGCTTAGCTGGGGGC